GTGTTTCTTTTAAATGTTCAGATCAATTTAAATAAATTAACAGTGAATTAGCTTCTGAAATTATAATAATGGAAGCATTGATCAACTGCCGAGCTAACAAGTTTTCTTCATTTTTATGTCTAATTGCTTTGTCATCAGTTTTAAATATTCCTGTTATATCAATTTATCCTGATTTTGGCTTAGAAAAATTAAAAAAACTTTTTAATACAATTATTTTTCCATTTCGTTTAATTAAAAATTAAGATCAAAATGTTTTAAATATTATATGGTGTAATACTGATATTATGTCAGTGATGCAAAATAATAACTGGACACCGAACCATTTTGAACCAATCATTTAAAAGCATAAACTAATTTCTAGTAATAATAAGAATTTGGCTATAAAAAACGATGCTACTTATCCTTTACACTTTTTTAGTCTTAAAACTGAAACAAATAAAAAAAAAAAAACTTGATTCTGCAAAACATGTCAAAATTCAATCTAAATTAACTTTAAAAAAGACAATGCTTTCATAGAGTTGCCTTTTGAACCTTCAGTCATTAGACTCCAACTCAGTTATTATTCCTTCATATAATGAATTAAATTCTTTGTATGATGTTTCAACATATCTTGTTCGGCGTAAACTTTTAACCGTTGGCAAAGATGATTCTGTTTTGTTAGATATGGTAAACAAAGTATTTTGTCCTAATTCTATGTTTGTTTTTCCAATATCTTTTAATACAAAAAGATCATTTAAATTTGAATGGCTCAGCTAGTTTTATTTGGTTAGCTTATTCTAGCAAAGAAGATGGAGCTTACTGTTTTCCTTGTACTTTGCTAGGTGCTAGTATTCCAAATAAGTCTGGAATATTAAATTTAGTTTTCAAGCTTCATCAAGAGTGGGGTAATGCTGTTTGTGATTATAGAAAACATGAGGAAAGTTGTGTTTTACATGAAAAATCTATGCTTTCATTTAATGCATTGCTTTCACGTTGCAACTCCAAAAGTAATGTTATTGAGGTTGATTTAAATAATTCTCGTTTGAAACTTCTTTCTGATAACCAAAAAAAATTAGTTCCAATAATTAAAAAAATAATATTTCTTGGTAGAAACGATCTAGCATTTCGTGGACATCGTGATGATAGCAAATATCATCCTGATATTGGGGAATCTTCTACACAAAAAGTTGGAGTTGATAACTTCATAGAGCTTTTAAATTTTCGTGTTGATGCCGGTGATCAAATATCAGCTAATCATCTTTCTTCAAGTTTAAAAAATGCAACCTATATATCAAAATCTACCCAAAACCAACTTATCGATTCTAGTGGGAAAGCATTTGAGGAAGTTTTAATAAAAAATGTCAAGTATTCAGTTTTTTTTTCAATTCTTTGTGATGAAGCAGTTGACTGTTCAAATACTGAACAAATGTCACTTGTTTTAAGATATGTAAATTCAAATAATGAGATTTGGGAGGATTTCTTAAGATTTATTGATTGCAAGACTGGTACATCTGGTCTTAGTCTATCTCTTAATGTACTTAATGTACTTCAAGAGTTTGGACTTGATATTCAAAATTGTAGAGGCCAAGGGTATGACGGTGCAGTTTGTATGGCAGGTGAATATAAAGGAGTTGCTTCTTGAATAAAAGCTCTAAATCATAAAGCTACATTTGTTCTTTGTGCAAGCCATAGACTTAGTTTAGTAGTAGCAGCTGCATGCCAAGTTCAAAAAGTAAAAAATCTTCTTGGCCTAGTAAAAGAAATTTCTAATTTTTTTAACTTATCTCCTAAACGTTGTAACTGTCTCAAAAAATATTTAAGTCTAAATCAAGAAAAAATAATAGATACTTGTCAAACAAGATGGGTTCAAAAGCTGAAAGGTCTTGATGGTTTTTTCTTGATAGTTTTATACCTATTATTCATGCTTTAAAGGAGATGGGGTTAAATGAGTCAAAGGAATATAACAGTAAAACTGCTTCCAAATCCTCTTTTTTTTTAAGATTATTAACAGATTTCTCTTTTATCGTAAGTTTAGTTATTACGAAACAATTAATGGATTTTTTTTTTTATGCAATTACTGTAACTCTTCAAACTAAATCTTTTGACATATCCCAGCAGTGTTTTGAAATAACTAATCTAAAAAATCTGTTATTAGAAATTAAAAATAAAATTGATATATATCTCACTGAATGGTACGCTATCGCTCTTAGTTTGGCCAAAACTCTTGATATACAAGAAGTGAGACCTAGATTGTGTATTGTCCAGGTTTACCGGGATAATTATCCAACAAATACAGTTTGTGACTATTTTAATCATAGCATTACTTCTCCATTAATTGAACATCTTATTAATGAGCTAGATAATAGGTTTCCAGCAAAATGGCATGTTTGTATATAAAGGTCTAGCAGCAGTTCCTTCAACTGTGCTGTCCAGAATACAAGTTAAAAAACCATAGAAATCTGAAATTTTTAATTTCTATTCATCTGATATGTCTCATTTTACTTCAATAGATGCTGAGTTC